AGTATGTTAAGTGACAATGGCAGTGATAAACGTTCCGGTTTCAGCTGAGAAGACCATGATGAAAATCGAGCCGCTGTCCCCTTCACCTGATTTTCCAGAAGAGCATCCACCCGCAGTCAAAGCAACACCGGTACTTCGCGTCGACCCTTTGCCTGAAGCAGTTTCGAAGTTATCTACAGCCGTTCATGATTCATCTCACCATTCAAAGTCCAAAGCGGCGGCGTCCTCTGACACTTCCAAACGCACTCCTTTACCACCGAAGGTGTCGAAAGTGGAAAACATTCGTTCGATTTCATCCGAAACTTCATCCAAACGTTCGGATCACCACGGTATGTGAAAAGGTGGATCTTTATCGAATACACGCGAACCGTAGCTGTATGCTCATGTCAAATGTTTCTGTTTCATAGTAGTGGTCAGGTTTGCTCAGTCGATAGATCGTCTAACTCAAAACCGAGAGGTACCCGATTTGAGCCCCTATTGGGTTCACTCGTTTTTTCTCACTCTGAAGTTGATAAAGGAGTTTAATCGTTCTGTGGGAACGAGGCAGGAGATTGCTTTCTATGCTTGTCACATACCTGCTATTCACTGTGCCATTAAAATAAGCCACTAATGACGTGGAGATGAAGATCAACACAGATTAACTTCATGAAAACAAGCGCTCCAGAAATTTTCCCGTTATGAAAATATAGGGAAGACCGCTATTCTGTCGATTAAAATCTTGTTTTCCTTTTCCTTATCTTAACAGTTAAAATCAGCGAGAAATTCCGTGCATACGAAATAGGTTTGAAGTTTTAATATTTAAATTGAAACACGAAACGGAACTTCTTTCATCAGAGATATGGTAGCGCAAATTCGAATCTATAAAATGAGAAAGAATGGAGATGAATGTCAAACAGTACCGTTATCTTACTGTTACAGTCAATATAGCTGGTTGTAAGAACAGTTGACAAAGCAGTATCGCATGCGTTCAAAAAAGGAAACGAGATATGGAGCAAGAACAGAAGCAAAGCAAATAATAAGCAAAAATTCTACAAAAGCAAAAATTAAACGTTAAGTAATTATTGCAGTCTACATATGTTAAGGCATAGTCGTCTGAAGCTGCCAAGGTTTTTGACGCGTCTGGATTAAAATAACAGGTTTGTGAAGAGCTCCGTCCATGTAGATGTTGTACAGTGACATGCTGGTACCTAAAAACAAAGATCCATAACAAGTCGTAAGTCAGCAGCACGGTCTGTCAGCCAGAGGCTCAGTATCGCGACCCCTCTATGTGCTGATATAGTGAAATCAGCTCCAGAACAGATAACCTTCCAGCTGTTTTTCATGGCCTAGTCCTTATAGCTGCAGTGCATGGTAGAAGAGATTCTAAACATGTGCCAACTGGTAGCGTTATGCTTCTTCAGCCAGTTTCTATTACTTTTCTGCCGTCGAACAGATATTACAGTGGTCAAGTGTCATAAGCCGTTAGT